TGCGTATTCCAATATGGCACCCACGGGACGAATCAGACCAGCTTTCCCTCAATGATCACTTGATTCTTCGTCAAAATCTTCTTGCAATCAAGCTCCGACGTAAACCGAATCAGAATATGCATCGCATCAATCGATCCTATGTCCGCCAAGCCTGAGAGGGATTTTTCTTTCTTTGAAATAATCATTTTTTCCTAATTCTTTTACTGATCTTATTTTCATGTTTTTGATTTGTATGCCATTTTTCAAGAATTCTTGAATACACCCACATGTGCTATTAATATTTTCTGGTTTGATGCTTATTAACATTCAATTTAAGATTTCTTTTTCTAAATGATTTCAAGTTTATCTTGCAGAGTTGGATTTCTTCTCTTTTGTGCGTATGTGTGAGAGAGAGATTAATATGTAAAATTGGGCACTAATAAGTTGGTCGAAAACTGAAGTGCAGATCCTCGTGCTCGATCATAGTAGTTCTTATACAAATGTCGGAAGCCAAAGATGAGCTAGAGATCAAGTTTAGATTGGCAGATCGATCAGACATAGGGCCTAAACGGATAAACAATGTTAAAATGCGTTTTTACCCTTATTTTTCACGGCCTAAACGGCTTAAAGTAACGCAAGGATCATAGCGGGTCAAATTCAAATGTTAGAGGACCACGGATGGTCAATTTGAAAGTTTAGGACTAAACGTGGCGATACCACCATACTCGGAGGACCTCAGATTGCATTAACTCTATTTTTATAATAGTAGAATTGTACATTACTTTACAAATTTTATACTATTATTTTTTTTTATCGGACAAAATTGTTCTTACATCATTGTCAGACCTGCGCAACCTAACTACAAAGTTGTCGATTATAAATAAATATAATTACACCCGGAATCTAAAACGGTAGTTGTCGATTATAAATAAATATAATTACACCTGGAATCTAAAACGGTAAGGCCATTTTCCAAAGAATTGACAGTGTTGACATCCGATTGGCTCTAATTGAACAAGTTTACACATCAAAATTTTATCAATGCATGAAAACTTCTAAAGAAATTTGTAAGTTAATTTTTACTATATCATTATAACAATATATTTTGAATTATTTATTGTAACTATATATTTTGAATTATTTATTATCATCCTCTATTGACAGCAATTGTAGTAATTGTCATTGACAAACTCTCGAAACACTTTGTCTCAACAATGAATAGAGATTAAAAAAAAAAAAAAAACCATTGATTTCATTATTGTTTATGAAAAGTATGTATGACACTTTATTACTCTTATTAAATTAAATAAATTAGTAGCTATAACAAAAAATAATACTTATGCATTTAAAAGAAATTATTCATTATAAAAAAAAAATTTAAAAGAAATATAATTTCATTAGTTATATTATTTTTATTTTCTACAATTCAAAGATTCCTTACCTTCAAATTTATTAATTTATTATATTCACTACATTGTCCATTGTCTTCTTTACATTATAAATTTTATGAATCTACAGTTTAGAAATTATAAATGTACAATATAGAAATTATGAATGTACAGCATGTCCACCATGCACATGGTGGACACGGGTCCATAGCATAATTTGCCCCTGCGGGTTCGGTGGGCCGACTCACAAAAGGCAGCAAAAATTAGCCTCGAAAATTTTTGCATGCACACCTTTTGGAATATGCTTTCCCCCACATGGAAGTCATTTTCTCCCAAAACATACATATTTTCCTTTGACTAAAGCATCATTTTTCATTGACCTCATTTTCCCCCCTCTTGCCAAACGCTGAAAACTCGGAAAGCATTTTACAGAAGTCATTTTTCCGGGTTCCAAACGCACCTTTAGTCAAATTAATTATCTGGATTATTACCTCTGTCAGACACATAGACAAACAAAAAATATAAAAACAATTAAAAAGCAGATAAATAGAGGAACCTGGAAGGCTGGAACGTGCGATATGTTTACGTAGTTCGAAGAACTTTTCTCCTACGTTTGCGGGGTCACTCAAAAGTGAAACCAACTCTACTAAATAATCAAGAGATTACAAACGATTGAATTAATTTTCTATACACACTATAGTCTAATCATCACACCAAACCAATCTTCATCATCTCCTGAGTTAAGTTGGTAGAGTTTCTGGAATCAACGTTCTAGTAGGTTCTCACTTTTCTAACCAATAGAAGACACCACGCCTCTATAGAATAGCCAGGCCGTTCAATTTGCAGTACTTGATCGCCTTTTGAACACTCCAGGTTGTAGTAGATGACTGAGCATATTAATTCAAGAGTGTAGCTAATTAGAATTGTTGAAGAATTGCCGTGTAAAAAGTTGTTATCTGCACACTTACATTTTTTATATTCTAATATAGCTAATATATCTTTGTCAAGTACAGTAGGATCTCACACACAAATACTACATTTCATACTAGGTATAATTTTTAAGGTAGTTGTATATATTTATGGAGCTCAAACTTGAAATTTCTGTTAATATGCAAGAGACTCATGACATCCAATTCACACTCTATGAGTTTAAGCTAACTAATATTAAGTTTAGTAGATTAGAAGTCTCATTTAGCTAGGACTTACTGCTTTCCGCAACAGAGTAGACATTCGATTTCTGCCACGAACATTGAGCACTTGGGTTTGAGTTGGGTTTTGTATGCACTGAAGTATATAATTTGATGTTAAATTTAAAAATTAGATTTACTCAATTTACCTAATTTATCTCATCATGACCTTAGGGGTGGCCAAACATATTAATTCAACAAAATCGAAAAAAACCTAATTTATCATTAAAAAACAAATTAAAACAAAAAACTAGTATAAAATTAATGGTGTGTTGACTTGTCGTACTTGGAAGCATAAAAATCAAGACGACAATCAACCTCTAAATTGATTTTTGTCCTGGTACCAGCACTAATGTCACATTTTCTATATGCATAAATTGCGGTCAAATATGATTTTTATTCTCCTGCAACATTCTGTTATCCTATTATAAGACTATTCAAAATTATTTCGTAACGCGCTTTTAAATTTTAATTCTTATTTAAGAAAATTATCACTCGAATTCTTTAATATTGTGTACTTTTTTTTTTTCTGGGAGAAGTGTCAAATAGGCCCATGTACTAAAGTCAAGTGCTCAATTTCCACCATGAACTAAATTAAATGCTAATTAACCACACTTACTTACTAAATTTGTTCAATTAGCTTTTTTTGTAAGTAATTAACATTTTTTTGTAGGTTACCAATTCAATTATTAAAAAATAATTTCAAAATAATTTAAAAATTAAAAAAAAAAAAAAAAAAATACAGCCACCGGCTGTCCTCGGGCGAGGACAGCCGGTGGCTGTATTCTTTTTTTTTTTTTTTTTTTTTAATTTTATTTTATTGATTTATTTATTTTAATAATTAAATAGGTAACCTGTTATTAACCTGCAAAAAAAGTCAATTGAACAAATTTAATCGTAGATGGACATATTTGATACTTAATTTAGTTCGTGGTGAAAATTGAGCAATTCGCAGTAGTTGATGGGCCTATTTGACACTTGTGTTTTTTTTTTTTTTTTTTTTTTTTTATAAGAGTCGAACTTCTATTATTAGTTTATTATTATTCTCGAAAAGAGTAATTTATTATTCATTTTAAGATATATTAATTTGTCGTTTCAAAAAAAAAAGATATATTAATTTGCATTTGTAATATTGTTTAGATCATTTTTTTTTTGAATGACAAGATAAATTTGTCGTCATTATTTAATAATTTGTCATTGATATCACCTTTTGTTTGAAAAAATAAAATAAAAAATAAAGCAATGATAACGTTCACTTTCATGTGATCAAGTCATAGTGTACCTAATTATGTTGGAATAATAATAATAATAACAACAACAACAACAACAACAACAACAACAACAATAATAATAATAATAATAATAATAATAATAATAATAATAATACTTTATTATGATGATACTTGAAACTTGAAGCATAATAATATACTCTATAAACAACATAAACATGACATGCTTAATTATCTAAGCAAAGGATTAGTCTTTATGGTTTAGCTGAGTTATCATGATTTACATTCTTCCAGATGCTCTGTCAGGTCTGTTGAGCATATAGCCATTAATGTGCAATCCAACTATAAGTTTAGGCTTTTAGTTGAGATGGAGCACATGCTTCAATTAAGTATCAGAGTTAGACCAAAGGTCATGGGTTCGAAAGCGATGCTTGGAACCCACCGCACACGTGAATGTGCAATCCAACTATAAGCTTAGACTTTTAGTTGAGATGGAGCACATGCTTCAATTAGGTCGAGGTGTAGGAGCCCTTGGAGTTAAGAATTTAACTTTTTTAAAAAAATGAAATGCTTAATTATGTGTTATTGTTATTATTATAGCTCTAAAGATTCCACATACTATGCACTCTTGTTGATCACACCTTAATTTTACTACTCAAGGGTAAAAGTCTAACTTAGGTGACGATAAATATCCACTCTCATCACTATTTGATTTTGTGTACGAAGTAAAACACTTTTCATATGTAATAGTTCACAAATATAGAAGAAATAAATCACACTAGACCCCTTAGAAAAAAAAAATCACTCTAAACAATTCTAAGCAACAAATACAATCTCGATGAAATGTTAACAAGAATCATGAAGGCACTCCTATCTCACCGCTTCAGCTCGCCTTTTAATATCTTCATTATTCTTCCAAAAAGGAAGACTTATGCTCACTATGCACAAAAAACCCCCTTCACTTTAAGAGGTTGCTCCTACACTGCCACTAGTGAGACTCGATCCCATGCGAGTACCACACAACACTCGTTTTGTACTTTGTAGTTGCCCTAAACCAAAAAAAAAATTGGATAAAAAGAGACTTGTTGCGTTGTTAGTGAAATATTTTTACCCCAATTCAACTAAGTTGATCAAATTGGATAGTTAATTTTTTGTTTTGGTTCGACTAACTTCACTAGATTACACTGAATTTTTTACTGGTAAATCACGAGCTCAGTGACTATACCTCGGGAGAGCAACTTTGACAGTGCACTGAATCTGGTCGTAGCAATCATGTTTCCAGGAACTTGCCTTTTTTATCAATAAATGTTTAATTAATACATTTCACTATATCAGGGTCCATTCCTCCTTCAATCCCTCGCTTTATTTATTATTCATTAAACACCCAAACCGGCCTTATCTTCAATCCAACAAATTAAATCTCCACCTCTTTCTTCTCAATCCCCAGTTCTTGATCGATCTTAACATGGAGGCTCTACTCCAAGAATTCTATGCCAACACGAATGGTTTCATGTTGAATCGCCATTCAGAGCCTGCAGCAAACCCGAAGTTAAATGGGCAAAAAAGACGGGATCTTGACAGTTTTCAGGATTTTCCGGCCACCGGAGAAGAAGAAGAAGACTATGGGGATTACTCCGACGCGGTGTTGAAGTACATAAACCAGATGCTAATGGAGGAGGAGGACTTGGAGAACCGGCCGTGTATGCTCCATGATTGCATTGCTCTCCAGGCCACCGAGAAATACTTCTCCGATGTCCTCCATGGCCATGGCCATGGCGATCTGACCAGCTCTAACGCTTCTTCTGATCCCAACGACTATGGCGGCTCTTCAGATTCTCTGTTGAGTCCACCTGAGACCCAATCTGGGTCGGTTTCGCCCGGAAGCGATGGAGATTTTCCGGCTACTAATCTCGTTCTACCTGACAATAACGCCATGGAAGGTAAGAGAGAGAGATAGAGAGAAATGATTTTGTTTGAAAAATTAGTTATTTTAATTTTAATTGATTTTATCCATTTATTCTCCTACAGATCGTTCACCGCCAAAGGGGAAGAGAAATCACTACTCGAACATGGAAGATGAATCTGCAGAGAAGCAGAGGAATAAGCAGTTGGCAACTTACAACGACGACGAAACAGAGCCGCCATTAGAGAAGCTCAACGAAGTTCTCCTCTGCAACTCGCAAGAACCCAGGAAGAAACCCGAGGGCGCGGCGGCTCCTCCTCCTCGCCGCCGCCGCAAGAAACGAGAACCGCAGAAGGAAGTGGTGGACCTGAGAGGCCTATTAACTCAATGCGCGCAGGCTATGGCGAACTACGACGGCCGGGCGGTGACGGAGCTTCTGGCGAAGATCAGACACCACTCTTCTCCGCGCGGCAACGGAATGGAGAGGCTGGCGTTTTACCTCGCCAACGCGCTCGAGGCGCGGCTCAACGGCGCCGGCACGGCGATCTTCACCCTCCAATTCTCCGGCAACATCTCGGCGGCGAACATCCTCAAAGCTTACCATATGTACATTAAAGCCAGCCCGTTCAAGAAAATCTCAAATATTTACGCCAATCATTACATCATGAAAATGGCGGCCGGAAAACACGCCCTGCACGTGATTGATTTCGGAGTTCTCTACGGTTTCCAATGGCCGTGTATGATTCAAGGCCTCTCCAACCGCCCCGGCGGACCCCCCAAGCTCCGGATCACCGGAATCGATCTCCCCCAGCCGGGGTTCAAGCCGGCAGAGAGAGTGGAGGCCACCGGAGCTAGGTTAAAGAAATACTGCGAGCAATTTAACGTCCCGTTTGAGTTCAAAGCCATAGCTAAGAGATGGGAAACCATAAAACTCGAAGATCTCGAGATCGAGAGGGACGAAGTTCTCGCCGTGAACTGCCTGTTCCGTCTGGAGAACGTGCCGGACGAGACGGTGGTCCCCGACAGCCCGCGCGACATCGTCCTAGGTTTAATCAAACAAATCCGCCCCGACATCTTCATCCACGGCGTCGGCAACGGCGCGTACAACTCCCCATTCTTCACCACGCGGTTCCGGGAGGCCGTCTTCCACTTCTCCACCTTGTTCGACATGTTCGAGGCCACCGTGCCGGCGGAGGACGAGGACCGGAGGCTGTTCGAGGAGACGGTGCTGGGGAGAAACGCGCTGAACGTGATAGCTTGCGAGGGGACTGCGAGGGTGGAGCGGCCGGAGACGTACAAGCAGTGGCAGGGGAGAAACAAGAGGGCCGGATTCCGGCAGGTGGCGCTAGATCAAGAACTCGTGAAGATCGTGAAGGATAAGGCGAGATCGGATTACCATAAGGATTTCTCGGTGGACGGCGACGGGAAGTGGTTGTTGCAGGGGTGGAAAGGGCGTGTGGTTTATGCTCTCTCTTGCTGGAAACCTGCCCTCGACTGATTTTTCATATTTCAAGTATAATGTAAATATAAATGTTACCAATTTAGATAATTTATCTATATTCTAAATTGCCATCATTGAAATATAATAATGAGTTTTCTTATGATTATTTGGTTATAAAATGTTTATATTACAAGTATAATAATACAAAATTAGAGTTTGATTGTGTGTGTTGAGTTGAGTTGGAATTCAAAATATCAAAGTTTGAAAGTTGGCTTAGTAACAATGAGATTCTAAGTTCGGCGTGGAAATTGTTCTGGCCTTTTTTGTATGGACACTTTAAGTTAGACTTACAATGCGAATTTTAGATATAGCCCACTTTTGAATTGCACGATTAATTTTTCAGTAAATCAAAATTTGGTTGAATTTGAGATTTGTTTAAATCTATTCAAAATTTGAATTTTTATTACTCTGACTCGACTTTATTAGAGGAAATTTCAATTTTGATATTATGACTATAGGAGTCTTGTTAATTTCAATCATTGACTTTCAAAAGTGTTACCTTTTTTTTTTTTTTTTTTTGGGAAAGAGGGGGGAACACCCGTGGGTCGTTAGGCAACCCTCACAATATTTCTCTCGTCAAGAAGGCCAAGCTCGTCTTCCCAGAGGAATCTCTGAATGGTTCTGGGTGGCCTTTCAAATCATCTGAAGTCAACGTCTTGATAGAACGCTTGATATGTCATAGTGTCCGCTGTGTTATTTTGTTCCCTAAGAGCTTGAGTGAAAGTTGTCTCCCAATTTCTCGTTCTTGCATCACGAACAACTCTACCAAGTTACCTGCCGTTCCATCGTAGCTCTCTGTACTGTTAATCAATGAGATTGCTCTAGTGCAGTCAGCTTCGAAAATAACTTTCCGGTAGCCCAGCTCCCAAGCTTTCTCAATGCTGGTAAGAATGCCCCAGATTTCCGCTTCTAAGGCATTGCAGGTTCCAATTTTCTTCGCAAAAGCTCCTAAGAATTTCCCTTCTTCATCCCTGAACACTCCACCGCATGCAGCACGTCCCTGTTGTCTGGTTCCGCCATCCGTATTGACTTTGATCCAGCCTTCCCTCGGAGGTCTCCATGGCTGGCTTCTTCTCGTTTCTCTTCTCTGATTGTCAGCTGGTCCGGAGTTCTTGTTGAACGCATCCTCAATCTCTTTAAATTGTCGGTGGAGCCAAACAATCTTTTCATTGATGTCCTTCTCCACTCCATTAAAGACTCTATCGTTACGCCATTTCCAAATCCACCATGCCGTTATGGCGAATTTGGCACATCTTTGCGTCCCTCTTTGGCCACCTTTATTTCCTGTCACGTTATTTTTTAACCAGATATTAAAATCCAAAGGTTGAGACGTACCTGGTTTCCCATCAATCATCATTTGTTTCCAGACTATCTCAGCTGCTGGGCAGCGTCTGATGGTGTGTTCTACAGTCTCCTTCTCTGCGCCACATAAGCTGCATTGCTCATTCAATGTGAAATCCTCAAAAGTGTTACCTTTAAATATGTAATTTTTATCAATTTTGGTTACTCCGTTAAAATTTTTTAATAGTTAAAATAATAAAGATATTTTAGTCATTGCACATATCTTTGCTTTTTCTCCGGCCAATCTATCTTTTCCACCATGTTTCCCGCTCTGACAAAAAACCATACACCAGTCTATGATGAAGTCCCAAGCTCCAGAAGCAACTGCCCGAGCGTTTTCATGATTTCTCTGACGAGGCTTGGCAATATTCCTGCGTGCCCGAATTTTGATTTCCTCAGCTCCTGCTATTTATGCCGTAAAAAACTCTCCGACAAAGACATTTACATGTACATGTACTATTTCTTAAAAAGTTTCAAGAAACCTTAATTAACCTTAATTCAATTTTGATTTACGAGAATACGATGATGCTGCTGCGGTGAAACCTTGGGAGGCATGCTGAAATCCAATGTCGATTTCGATCGTGCCATGAAACCTATTTTTGCAGGGGTGAAAATGTGTTTTGTATGCCTTGGGAGGTGTGCTGCTGTGATGTTTTCAACTGAATTTTTGCAGGAGGTGCTGGATGAGTACAAAGAGAAGTGCAGTTCAGAGATTTCTAGGTCCGCAGATATCTCAAGCTCCCCTTACACAAATTGCAAGATGTTTTCAGTCTGAATTTTGGTCATTTGAACCTTAATAAATCGGCTTGGACGAATGAGTTTAGGTATGCTTTGGAAGGTGTGCTGCTGTGACGAATTTACAAGAAAAGATGAATTCGTCGGAGAAGAAGGAAAGAGATGTGAAATGACTAAAATATCCTCATTATTTTAACTGCTAAAATTTTTTGGTGAAATTTGACCGGCAATTTGACCGGAGTGACCAATATTGATAAAAATTGCATGGTCAAGGTACTAAATTGACACTTTTGAAAGTCAAGAACTGAAATTAACAAAACCCCTATAGTCGTAGGACCAAAATTGAAATTTCCTCACTTCATTATTATGTCAATAGTTATATTTCACTATTTTGAGACCCAACTTATCACATTTGCTGAATTTTCAAGCAATTAAATCATTGTATTTGAACAACATGTTTATTATAATAACATATTTATAAATTTACTCATTGTTATCAATCCCATCTTATATATATATTTGCAAAATTCAAAAACTACCATACAAGATAATTATCATCTTGTCAAGGATAAATGTGTAAAAGTAATCTTTTATCAAAAATCGATTTTGCCCCAATGATCAATTCATACATGAGACTTAACTTCTAAATCTTCATTAAATTATTTAGATACTTTGAAAATTATTTCAATGAAGTCAAGAAAGAAATTAGTTATGAAAAAAAAAACACTTATTACAAGTTACGGAGTATAAATCTATTAGATTTTATAAAAAAATCGAAGAAATTAGTAACAAAATAAATTAAATTAAAAATGCCATTAAAATCTTGATAGTTATAAAAAAATATTATTTGAGATATTATGACTAAATATGAAATTAAAAATCTTGAACAAGGCTGGTGAAGTGTGGTAATTCATTCAAATTGTCAGATGGTATGCAGATTCTTTAACCATGAGTTATCTGATTATTCTTATGCGAGTTGTGTGTTAAGTCATTGTCGGTCTCTAAAACGACACTTTGAAGCAGTGTCTATCAAGTACTATGTTTCTCGATCAGTGAACAAGCTCGCTCATGCATTAGCTAAGGCTGCAAGTTCTCAATCTAGTCACTCTAATTATTTTTCTTCAATCCGTCATGTATTGAACATTTACAGGGCGTTTGGTTGGAGGGAGGGAATTATGTGGGAAAGGAATTGTAATTCCATGGGAGTTGAATTACTGGGAATAAAGTGGGAATTTAAATTCCAGTGTTTGGTTGACAGGAATAAAATTACTGGGAATTTCAATTCCAATGTTTGGTATACATGGGAATTGAAAGGGAATAAGTAGTATAAAGTCAAAAATGTCCATTATTGTTGTTAGACATTAATTTTAGGTTAAAAAAGGAAGGGGTAATTTTGACTCATCACTATCTTTTTTTCCCAGGAATTAAAATACCAGGGGGGACCTGGGATTTTAATTCCATGAAAATGGGGGAATTGCAATTCCCTCCAACCAAACTACGGAATTTAATGGTCTTTGGAATTATGTGGGAATTAAGTGGGAAGGGAATTTAAAATCCCTCCAACCAAACGCCCTATTAATGTCTTAATTTTAATGAAGTTTGTTTCCTTTTAAAAAAATGAAATTAAAAAACAAATTATTTTTGGAATTATTGTAAGAAAACTGGACCGGCGAGACGAGCTAACGAGACTCACCATGCATGCGGACTTAGAAACTGTTAGACCTCCTTGCCAGCCCTAAGGTCCACATGCAAGTCATGGTGGGCTCGGGCCAACCCACAAAATTCTTAATAAATTTAATTTAATTCAAAATCATGATTGCAGTAGGCGGTACTAACACCTAGCGCTTAAGCGGTGCACTGTGTGTGTGCAATCGTTATGTCATAGAACCGTGTTCACCATCCATGGTGAACACGGTCCCAACGGTGTTAGTGCACCGTTATTTTTTTTTTCTTAATTAATCGCGTGACTTTTCTTCTTCATTTCCACATTTCGCGGTTTCACTTTAATTTGAGGTGAGCAATGATTTCGGACATTCATAAATTATGAATCCATGCCTACACATTCACTTTGGACCCGTGCCTACACATTCCCGTCTGAAACCATGACTGCACCTCTGTAGCGCAAGCTTCTTCGACATTCATAAATTATGAATTTTCTGTTATGAAATTATGAATTTTCTGTTATGAGATTATGAATTTTCTGTTTTGAGATTATGAATTTTCTGTTTTGAGATTATGAATTTACAGTAAATTCATAATCTCATAACAGAAAATTCATAATTTAATAAATGTTTTTCTTTTATGCGATTATGAATTTTCTGTTATGAGATTATGAATTTACAGTACATTCATAATCTCATAACAGAAAATTCATAATCTGACCAAACGCGCGCCGTTAACACCACATCCACGATTTTTTTTTTTTTTTTTTTTTAGCGTAAAAACGGCGCCGTTTGGACCCATGTTCACCATTCATGGTGAACACGTTTCCAGGACATAATTTGCGGTGTGTGTGTGTTTGTGTTAACAAGGCCGACTTGACCGAGTTAGGTGCCCAAGACCTAGGGGCAATCTCAACTATGATTATGGAAATCTAACCACATTTATAGAAAATGCATGGTATTTTGGAAAGCTTTGTGCTCAACAAAACTTGGGAAAATGGCAACTCCCCCTTTGAATTAAAGTATCCATATTATCTTTTCAATTATATGTTAAGATGGTGTTTAGACAGTTTTAAGGTCAAAATAACAAAACTATACAAAAGCTATGAAAATCTAGATTTACGTAATTTTTGCAAAAGTTATGATCTGTATGAATTTCATTTCATTTTTTGTCTTGACTCGTGGTCCATCCTCCCCTACCTTCTTAAATGGCCAAAAAGATAGACTCAATAGACTATCGTTCTGAAAGCAATATTTTGTCAGCATATCCAATCCAAACCAAAGTAACGAAATATTAATATGTTTTGGGTTAAGAGATTAGTCCGGTTGCACAATGAGAGTTGACAATTTGTGTAAACGTGTGTTG